TTATAACTATCAAACTCTGATCGAGTAAGAGATCCCCTTTCCAAAGATACAGCTATAATGTTACCTCAGCGATACTCTGCCTGTATGAACATTTGCTTTATTGCGCTGAGTATGCTATAAACCTGGCAGAGTATAGGCTGAGGTAACATTATTTCAATATTTCTCATAGGATTCTAATTGGACAGTTTTAGTGTAATTCACTAAACAAACTCAAAGAAAATACTTCGAATTCATTTCACTAGTAAAGCCAATAGGAATTCGTTTAAAGTGTCATGCTTCCTGAACATTAATGTACAGGGCAATTATCAAGTAACTTCAAATAAGTGAATAAAAGCAGCTACTTCTTTCTTGAAATAGAAAACTCTTTTGATGATAATATCTATACTGGAGAATCAGGGGTAAACACACCGCTCTCGGTCCCCAAAAAGTAATTACATGGTACCTTGTTACATTTGCTTTTGATTCAATTGAATAATACTTTCGTATTAATTTTACAATATTATTTTACAATTTTACCTCTAGTATTTTCAAAATAGGACAATTTGTCTCATAAAAAAGATGAACTTCATGTTTAGGCTTTTCCAAATGGACTGAGAATGAGGCCTGGAACCGTCATATGTACATGACTGAAATATGAATCTAGTGTACTAGGTTAGAGATAAAATTCTTTATTCAGGAAACCTGAATTTATCAGACGAGTTTCAGGCTAGTTTTGACCCGTGCCTATTCCGATCTCCTTGGAAAAAGTTCTGAGTCCGCCACTTTTCTTGAAATTCTGCTTCCTATATTCATTACAGTAAAGTTCAGTATATTTATTTAGTTTTTTTTTTGTGTGTGTTTTTCGAATATGATTCGTCCATGCTATGCTTGCATGTTTCTTTGGTCTAACAGATTGTGCTGTGCAAGAATGCCTAACATCTGAAGTCACCATTATCAATTTTTCATTCAGTCCCATAGCATATGTACATAGCCTTTACCCCTTAATCACAGCTCTAGTGAAAATGCAGTTAAGATTATCGATCTTTCGAGCATGTTCATGGTGGCCATAATAGGCAATGGTTTCAAGGAATCCCTCCGGCTTTGTATTTCAGCTGGGACTATAGAATAGATCTAGTAATAATGTAATGATTTGTATGTAAACTACTTTATGCATTTACTTGTCCAAAAACCAATTAACCAAATACATTATGCTCCCTCCATTGCAACAAACACAGAGTTTTTTTTCTTTCTGAAATGCAAAGTTATATTTACATGCATTTCGGGGAAAGAGTCCCGAAAACAACTAATTTAATCGAAATTCTAGTTAATGATATACTCATCATGCAATTTAGCGACTAGTTTGGATAGTGTGGTGTTTTTCCTCTAAAGCGATAAGTGAATTGAGTTATTCATGTCTTAATTAGAGTAGTTGTTCTAATGTCTACCTGCGCTTTTGGGCATCATGAGCAACATTCTTGTATTATTGAGGTATTGAAGCTGTGAAGCATGATCTTATTAAAACAATGTTCGACCTGGATAATTTAAGCTATGTTCTCTTTTGGAATGCAGATTAAATGCTAGGGCAAAAAATAGAGAAATACGCGAGTCTGGGATTGAAATTGTGATATTTTTTAGTTCATTCTCAATAAATTCTTTTTAATAATTCTTTGGTTTCATTTTTTATTTATTGTCAAAAAAGAGGTTTCATTTTTATTTAATCTTATGTTTATATATACTCATCAAAGGTAAGAACTTGAAAAGGAAAGGTTATCTCAACCTTTCTAACTCAAAATCAATGATGTTTTTTCATTTGAGGTGGTTTCAGGAACTAGATTATACTTGAATGAAATATAATAGATCAGATGAGAACATATTTAATTAGACTTAGACAATAGTAAAATATATTAATAATAGACATTTACCATATTATATTAAATCAAACTAGACTAGATCAAATTTCAATAAATCATATCATTTCATACCACAAATCAATTGAAAACATAGAAGTGGAATTGAAGCCTAAAACATCAGATTAACTTGTAATTTTCTTTCATTTTGGAGGCATTTTATGAGATTTAAACATAGCTGAACTGGTATTGCTACGAAATCAATCAAATTAGAAGGTAATATTTGTTCCCACCAAATATATGTTCAACCAGAGTCTGCACAAGTGAATTTGTTCCCACCAAATTTGATAATATTTTTGTGGTTTTAAATCATTTTACTTTAAACTCATTTTTCTAAAAACTTGCACCACTGCCTCATGTACCAAACCTAGGGAGATAGAGATATGAGTTGTTTCCCAAAGAGAGAGTAATTTTCAATCTTATTTTCCAAACTATGGTACTTCTAAACTTATGTTACCAAATAAGAGTATTTTTTACCTTGTCATCTATCATGTCAACATAGTGGTCATATATCACCTTCCACACCATTCTCCCTCACTCAATCCACAATGGTGAACACGTGAAGCCACTCTAGGGAGCAGTTGTGCAAGTATACAGTTTACTTGGGAGTTTGGATACTGCCAAGTATGTGTGCAGCTCGACTCGCAGAGTCGCGGGCACCGATTCAGATTTTAATGCCGGGAAGTGACCACTTCATTTTAGAGTACACGAAAATCAGATAATGTGGAAAAAGACTTTAAAAAATTTTCCAGCGGTTAGAATGATATGTTTCACGGCGACATGAAAATCTGATTGTAACATGGAAAATCTAGTAGTGATATCGTGTTTTTCAAATAATATAACCTTGTTAGTCACATATTTAGAAATTAAAAAATACTTCGTACGTAGTATCAAATTTTCATTCATTATCCACTTTTAGCAAAATTGAGGTTAAAACCCCACAATTTATTCTCTTTGAAAATGGCACAAAATATAGAATCTGCTTTTCAAAGTAGAAAAGCTGTATTGGTTTGATTCGATGCCCAACTTCACGTGCCCATTAATTTAGGAATCAAAATGGTGTAAATTTCCCACCAAGGCCGAAAATAAGTCTCAAGAGCCATTGAGAACGAAGAATTAGGTACACCCCTACATAGCGTTTTGTCTTGCGTAAAAATGTGAAAACAGATTTCGCCAAGCAGCAAAGAAAACAAAACTGGCCTCCATTTTTCGAAGGAAAGAAACACCACATGACCAAACCGACGTAGAAAACACATTGTACCTACCAGGCTACCAAAAGTCAGGCAAAAGATCACAAAGCGGATTAAAATACGAAGAAATAATGTATTCTTTTTATGTGCGTATTTATTATTATGTAAATAAACACTAAACATTTTAAGCAATACACAAAAAAATTAAAACATTAATCGTAGCTCATTTTACTTTGCATCAACGCTGCAAGTCCAAGTATAAGAAAATAATTTCTAAAGTGACATTTTCAAGTCTTTTCATACCAATTTCACATAGCCGAAGTCTTAATTTTGTGTTTGTGTTACACACTTACACACATGGGTACTTGAGTACATGACACATACACCACAAATTTTAGGTTCCAATTTACCTTTGAACGTCCATATTAAATCAGATGTTTTATTGACAAACAATCATCATTGAGACTTGACACCCTAAATTGATAATTTTTTAGTTTTAAGTGTTAAATAATGGTTAATCTGTCTTATAGGATCATATGCCATTAATAAAAGATTAAAAATGTTGCAGAATGCAGATTTCCAACTAAAGACCGAAATCCTAAAATCAGTTGCTAGAAGTCTAGAACCATTCAATTTGACTGAGATGAAATTGAAAAACAGAAGCACAACCCTACATAACGTTTTTCCTGATGTAAAAAGTGAAAAAGATTGGACAAGCAGCAAAGAAAACAAAACCGGCCTTCATTTTTTAAAGAAAAGAAACAACATAAGCGAGCAATCAAACCAATCTAAGAAACAATAATACCAAAAGACCCCTCCCCCACCAAAAACTTATTCAAAATTTACCTTTGAACGTCCATATTAAATCAGATGTTTTATTGACAAACAATCATCATTGAGACTTGACACCCTAAATTGATAATTTTTTAGTTTTAAGTGTTAAATAATGGTTAATCTGTCTTATAGGATCATATGCCATTAATAAAAGATTAAAAATGTTGCAGAATGCAGATTTCCAACTAAAGGCCGAAATCCTAAAATCAGTTGCTAGAAGTCTAGAACCATTCAATTTGACTGAGATGAAATTGAAAAACAGAAGCACAACCCTACATAACGTTTTTCCTGATGTAAAAAGTGAAAAAGATTGGACAAGCAGCAAAGAAAACAAAACCGGCCTTCATTTTTTAAAGAAAAGAAACAACATAAGCGAGCAATCAAACCAATCTAAGAAACAATAATACCAAAAGACCCCTCCCCCACCAAAAACTTATTCAAAATTTACCTTTGAACGTCCATATTAAATCAGATGTTTTATTGACAAACAATCATCATTGAGACTTGACACCCTAAATTGATAATTTTTTAGTTTTAAGTGTTAAATAATGGTTAATCTGTCTTATAGGATCATATGCCATTAATAAAAGATTAAAAATGTTGCAGAATGCAGATTTCCAACTAAAGGCCGAAATCCTAAAATCAGTTGCTAGAAGTCTAGAACCATTCAATTTGACTGAGATGAAATTGAAAAACAGAAGCACAACCCTACATAACGTTTTTCCTGATGTAAAAAGTGAAAAAGATTGGACAAGCAGCAAAGAAAACAAAACCGGCCTTCATTTTTTAAAGAAAAGAAACAACATAAGCGAGCAATCAAACCAATCTAAGAAACAATAATACCAAAAGACCCCTCCCCCACCAAAAACTTATTCAAAATTTACCTTTGAACGTCCATATTAAATCAGATGTTTTATTGACAAACAATCATCATTGAGACTTGACACCCTAAATTGATAATTTTTTAGTTTTAAGTGTTAAATAATGGTTAATCTGTCTTATAGGATCATATGCCATTAATAAAAGATTAAAAATGTTGCAGAATGCAGATTTCCAACTAAAGGCCGAAATCCTAAAATCAGTTGCTAGAAGTCTAGAACCATTCAATTTGACTGAGATGAAATTGAAAAACAGAAGCACAACCCTACATAACGTTTTTCCTGATGTAAAAAGTGAAAAAGATTGGACAAGCAGCAAAGAAAACAAAACCGGCCTTCATTTTTTAAAGAAAAGAAACAACATAAGCGAGCAATCAAACCAATCTAAGAAACAATAATACCAAAAGACCCCTCCCCCACCAAAAACTTATTCAACATATCGTAGATGGTCTCTCTCTTGTTCAGAGATCTCAGCTTCTAGTATCCAAACACCTCAACATGTCCCCAACAATTACAAAAAAAGAACTTCTGTTTCTGATCAGATAAAAAAAACACTCCCTTCTTGATCCCGGGAAACGTCTCTGCTTAGTACCTGTACTGGGCAGGCTTGTAAGGACCCTCAACTGGAACACTGATATATGCAGCTTGCTCAGGTGTGAGTTTAGTAAGCTTAGCACCAAGCTTCCCAAGATGAAGGGCTGCAACCTTCTCATCAAGATGCTTTGGCAAGACATAGACCTTCTTCTCATACTTCCCGGTAGCCCTCTCCTTCCACAGCTCAAGCTGGGCAATCACTTGGTTAGTGAACGAGCACGACATGACAAAGCTGGGGTGTCCGGTGGCACAACCCAAGTTCATGAGACGGCCCTCTGCCAAAATAAGCACACCTTTTCCTGTTTCAGGGAAGACAAATCTGTCTGTTTGGGGCTTAATGGTAATTCTCTTGATCCCTGGGTAGGTTTCGAGCCCTAGCATGTCGATTTCATTGTCAAAGTGACCAATGTTGCAAACAATGGCATTGTTCTTCATCTTCTTCATGTCTCCCACCATGATGATGTCCTTGTTACCAGTGGTGGTGACAAAGATATCAGCATCAGCAACTACATCCTCTAGAGGAAGAACCTGGATGCCCTCCATAGTGGCCTGAAGAGCACAGATTGGGTCAATCTCAGTCACGATCACACGGGCACCTGCCTGCTTCAGGGCTGCAGCACAACCCTTGCCCACATCTCCATATCCACATACCACTCCAACCTTTCCGGCAATCATGACATCAGTGGCTCTCATCAAACCATCGGGTAGAGAGTGGCGGCATCCATACAGGTTGTCAAACTGTCAAACAAAGTCACCAACTTCATCATTCATTTAAATATGTAATGTACTACACTAATAATAGCATAATCCAATGATCCAACAACATAAAAGTTCACGTTATAATTCTACAATTTAAAATAAGGTTACACAATTAAAACCTGATGAAGCATACCAGCATCAGAATATAAACAAACCTACCCAGTAGAGTATTTGAAAAAAGATTTAAGAACCAAATAAACATGTTATATGATGGAACATCAACTGCCTCTATTAGATTTACAATTTAGGCACACTTCACCTAATCTTTCCTCATATGTAAATTAATAATCCATATCGAATCAAAAGCAATCAAACTTACAGCATGCATAAATATACTCATGAAAAACAAAAAAAACACACACTGCATCCCAAAATCATCCTAATTTGACTTTGCATATGAAACATTGTTAATATAGTATCAGATCTAGACCTAGAGGTAGCGACATCAAGCAGGATTGGGAATAGGGGAGATCTATCATGGTTGTATGCGATCCAGAAAATAATAAATGAGAAGAAGTAAATATATACCTTGCTCTTGGTAACAGAGTCATTGACATTGATCGCAGGGAATAGAAGAGTTCCATTTTCCTGCATCTGATAAAGCCTCTTGACACCAGTGGTGGTCTCCTCAGACACACCAACAAGTCTCTCCTTCATCTTGGTGTACTTCGTTGGATCGGCCTTGAGCCCGTCCCTGATGATTGTGAGCACGATCTGGAACTCCGCATTGTCGGTGGAGGCCGGATCCGGCAGGGTTCCGTTTTTAGCGTACAGCTCCTCGGCCTTAACACCCTCATGGATCAATAGAGTTGCATCCCCACCGTCATCGACAATGAGATCCGGTCCACCACCGGGGCCCCAGTCGAGGGCCCTCTCAGTGCACCACCAGTACTCCTGGAGGGTCTCTCCCTTCCAGGCGAACACGGCGGCGCTGTCACGTGCGATGGCCGCAGCGGCGTGGTCCTGGGTGGAGAAGATGTTGCAGGAGCACCATCTGACTTCGGCGCCAAGAGCCGTGAGGGTCTCGATCAACACGGCAGTTTGGATAGTCATATGCAGACTGCCGGTGATCCTGGCGCCCTTGAATGGCTGGGAAGGTCCGAATTCGGCCCGGGAAGCCATGAGACCGGGCATTTCAACCTCGGCAAGCTCGATCTCGAGCCGGCCAAAGTCGGCCTGAGACATGTCCTTGACCTTGTACTCGCGGCCGGAGTTGGTTTTCTCGACGAGCAAAGCCATGGCTAGAGAAAGGGAGAGAGACAGAGTACGGAAGGTTCAGATCTGGACCTCGCTTCTTTGGGTTTCGAAAGAAGTGAGTGTGCAAGGAAGAAATGGCAGAGGAGAGTGATATAAATAGGTTTAAAGAGCGAAATGGACGATCAGGATTTGTTTGAGATCTGGGATCAGCGATGTTGGTTGGTGGATTTTGGATCTGACGACTCCTCCCTGCACCAGAGAAATGGTAAAACAGATATTGTTATCAATTGCATTTTATGCTTACAATTTTTTTTTCCTTGAAAATTCTATCTTATGCTAGGGCAATGGGTCGGGCGGACCGAGTGGTGCAGGACCCGGACCCGGACCCAGACCCGTTTCATGACATAAATAAGTGGATTCATTCCGTCCAGTGACCCACACGGGTCATTAGATTTTGGCCCATGATCCTCCTACAATAACCTATTAAGTAGTACACATTTCTAGTTTTGTGATGTTATTATTATAAGGGAAAACTATCAAATAAGCCCTGTACTATACCGAAAAAGTCAATTAGGCCCCCGTACAAACACTCAATTAAGTCCTCGAACTGTTAAAAAACGTTCAATTAAGCCCTTTTGGTCAGTAAGGAACCGATTTCCCAGTACAATGTAACCCGTTTCCCGGCAGCCGCCGTTGCTGGGGTTCGAGCACATCGTTGCCGTCGTCGCTGTTTAATCGGAAAACCGGTTACTTACCGACCAAAAGGACTTAATTGAACGTTTTTTAATAGCTCGGGGACTTAATTGAGTGTTTGTAAAGTACGAGGGCCTAATTGACTTTTTCTGTATAGTACGGGGGCTTATTTGATAGTTTTCCCTTATTATAACTTGAATTTTACATAAAGTTTGTCTTCAAATGATTATAAAAAAGAAAGAATGGCCTGAATATTACTTGTGGGGTTTTACTAGACCAAAATATGACTAATTTTTAGAATTGCCAAAAAGTTGCTAAATCTAAGCTGCCCAACCCTTTTCCTCTCCCGATATGCGGCCCAGACCTTTTCCTCTCCCCAAGAATACGAAGCATCTCCCAACCTTCAATGAAGCTGCCCATACTTGACTGTAGACTCTCTTTCAACCTTCAATCACGCCTCCAACGACAAAGCCTCCGCCGCCATAGCTCTCCAATCTCCGCCGCTCCGCCGCCATAGCTCTCCAATCTCCGCCGCTCCGCCGCCATAGCTCTCCAATCTCCGCCGCTCCGCCGCCATAGCTCTCCAATCTCCGCCGCCCCCGCCGCCCCGCCGCCCCGCCGCCGTTCTCTTCTTCTTCTTCTTCTCATTTCTTTTTGGTCGATGGTCGATTGCCGCGCCTTGGCTAGCCTCTCCGTCATCCCAGATGGCCACCGGTGATGGATCCGCGGCCTTGATGAACGACGACTCCGATTTAGGACCGTCGGTTCTGGATCTGCCGTCTTTGATGGACAACGGCTGCGATTTGTGGCTGCCTGTGCCGGATCTGCCATCTCGGTGGACGGCGAGTTGGTGGGGGTGAGATGAGGGTTCTGTGGTGGAAGAGTGGTGCTATGGCTAAGACTTCTGGCGAACTTGTAGGAGAGAGGCCTAAGGGAGGACAGGGGCGGCGCAGGGAGCAGGGGAGGGGGACCGGGAGTGGGGTTGGGGGCTGGCGAGTTGGTATGTAGGGCTAGGGGATGGTCATCGGAGATTCAGCGGTGGTCGGTGGTTGTGACGACTGAGGGCTGGGGCTGTGGTGGTGTCATTGGAGAATGAGAATGATGCGTTTATGTGGCGGCGTCACTGTGGTCGCCGGTGTAACTGCAGCGATGTCACTATGGCTGGTGGCGGTGTCACTGCAGCCACCGGTGATGTAACTGTGACGGTGTCACTATGACCGGCGGCGGTGTCACTATGACCGGTGGTAGTGTCACTACGGTCGCTGGTGATGTAACTGTGGCGGTGCCACTATGGCCGGCAACGGTGTCACTATGGCCGGCAGCGATGTCACTATGGCCGCCGGCGGTGTCACTATGGCCGCCGGCGGTGTCACTATGGCCGCCGGCGGTGTCACTATGGCCGCCGGCGGTGTCACTATGGCCGCCGGCGGTGTCACTATGGCCGCCGGCGGTGTCACTATGGCCGCCGGCGGTGTCACTGTGGCGGTGTAATAAAACGAACAGTGACATAAATTTTTTGCAGTGACATCTTGTTTTCTAATACCACATATATGACCTTTTGATCACTTTTTTGCCCCTTTTTAAAAGTGGTCACTTTTTTGATAATTAGTTCAAAATTAGTAATATTCAAATAAAAACCCCTATAAAAAACAAATACGGAGTATAATAATTCATAAAATAAAAAGTTAATATAGACGTAATACGTGAACTATTTATATATGAATAAATGAATATATATATAAATGCTAAATGTAAAAAAACAAATTAACTATTAATTTTTCATCTAGTTCAAAATGTATATATTACTCCACAACATATTCAAACATCAAGGAATTCATGAATTATTGCTCACACATATATACACATATATATGTATTTGTAGTTTAATTTAAAAGAGAGATATATTAATATATTGAGCGGGATAGGGCGGGGCGGGGTGGGGCGGCAGATGTAAATACTAATACCCAAACCTGCCCCATTATATGCACGGGGCGAGGCGGACCCATCCCTTTTGCAAGAAGGGGCAGGCTGGACCTTCCTCAAATGTCTCGGGGCAAGGCGGGTCTCTACGGGCTTTTTTTAGCCCCAATTTAACTTTGTCAATAATTAAGATCTCCACCAATTTATTCATATTCATTCACAATTCAGTTTTTACTGTAACTCGGCATTGATCGTCAATATGTTCAGTTTTTTTTAGAGTAACTAAGCATCGTCATTATTTCTCGTTTTTTTTGTAAATAATTACGATTTAAAAAAGTCAAACATTGCGATGTAAAAAATATAAATTTGGAGTTTAATTTTATTATTTCTAGTTTTCTACTTAAAAGCTAATTTAAAATAAAAAATAATCAAAAGATACCAAAATATTTTAATTATGGCATCTTAATTTTAGCACCTGAATCTATTTAAGAATAATTTTAGGTCTGAAAAGCTTCATCAGATGAAACTTAAATTATTATTTTTTTACTTTATATATGCAAGATTATAAAAAGTTAAGAATTTTGATATATATATTTGCAAAATTTGAAGTATAAATAAAAAAGTTTTATCACTTCAAATGAAATTTTGATATATCAAAATATATATTTTTGTAAACAATTTCCTTCACGGCAACGACCCTAGTAATCTCCACAGGAGCCAGTCTAGCCTCAAGGTCTGCCATGACCTTCGAATAGGGGTGGGCACCGTCCGGGACGGTCCGAGATTTGGCTTATCCCGATCCCGTCCCGGTTTTATAACAACGGTCCGATATGGTACGGGATAAGTCTTTATCCCAATGTTGTCCCATTTAAAACGGGACTGGGACAACCTGAGAAAAACCGGGACGGTTCGGGATGTCCCATAAGATATGTATTTGTGAAATGTGATATAAAAATAAACATTACATTAAAATAAAGACGTAACTATTTTTGCAAATTTAGCTTCCCTAAAAAGTTAAGTAAAACCTTTAATTAACTATTTTTAATGTTTGTCTTGTAAATTTTCTTGGCCCCCCTAATCGTGTGTTTCCTCTAATAGAATAGTAGCACAAAATATTTTTATACTTTGTAGTACACTTCTAATTTTTCAATACCACATTAAATTAAATATCATATCTATAAATACGCTTATACACTATATATATTTTCTAGTATTTATTTTGGAAAATATTAAATCTATAACAACACTATAAATAGTATTTTGCACGCAATAATATATTATGTATTAGTATTGGAATGAGAACTAAACAAATTTTAATCAAAAGAAACAAAAGAAATAAAATTACGAGAGACATGAAATAAAATAAAATTACACTAGGGAGACCAAGGACTAGAAGCTTTTAATTGGGCATGACTATTACATAGCATTAGAAACTTAAAATAACATATTACTTTCAAACAAGACACAGGGACGGGACATGATATTTTATAGCTATCCCGGTCCCATCCCGGTTAATATCAGTGCGGGACCGGTTCGGGATAAAAAAAATGCGTCCTAAATGGATCGGGATAGTTTCGGAACGGTATCGGGATTTTTCGGTTTGGGACACGGGACCGGGATTTTTGCCCACTCCTACCTTCGATGACAGACCTTGGACCTCTTTATGCTCCTCGTCCAGGCGTCTAGAGTCGTAAGCGACAAGGATAAAGACCTGAGACAACATAATTCAACATAATAGGGCCGTCTAATGAATTTGGAGGCCCCGGTTTTAAATGTAAAATCGAGGCCCCAAATTAATACTCCGTATAATTTTTTAAAAACAATCAATCCAAATAGTTATACTCAAATCAATTATATACTCATTAAAAAGAATTAAAAGAGTAAAAGGACCAACGAAAAAATCATGCATCTTTATTTTTCTTCATTACTAATTGTATTTTACTGATTAGTATTAATATATAATATTACTCCGTACTATATAATACTAAAAGAAATTTAAAAATTTGGGGCCCCATAAATTCGGGGGCCCTGTTCTGGATAACCTATTGAACCCCCTAAAAAACGGCCCTGCAACATATCATAATTAAAGGATAAAGTTATCTACCAAGACAGATGACAAGTTGTGGATAAAAGATCGGAGGGTACCTCAGAGACAGGGATAACCTCCGAGATAAACCATCAAGCTCTTCCACATAAGTCGGAGGGGTAATATCAAAGGCCAGAGCCATTAGATTTACATTGCCATGCAGAAGAGAAGATGAACTTGAGTGCATGGTCAGGCGGACTGTGCGGTAAGGTGCCAAAGTCGCAGGCTCGCAGCCACGCCCCCAGGAAAAGTCCCTCCTGGTCCTTCCTGTCACGCCCCGGACCTCCCAGGACACGTCAACAATCCGCCGTACAATACGAATAGTCAATCGCAGTCCAACACATCCATATTATACAAAGCGTCTTGAATATCATTCACACATATAACATCCATAAACAAACATAATAAGTAATTCATAACGCAGCGGAAAACATTGTTTAAAACAAAAGGGCCACACAGGGCTATTCATGAGCACGCAGGCTCTATAGTAAAATATCCATGAGCATGTTTAATATTATTCAAAACAGAATGGAGAAAACACGAACCGCGTCTTCTCTCCAAATGATCACCCGAGCAACGGGCACAGGTAGCA